GGGGAACACTATTGGCATTTGTCACACCTCCAAACTTGTAACACAAACTACACATACATATATTGTCCATTAGAAACTGTATTTGATGCCTTTGCCACGACATGAACACACTTTCATTACAGCATTATACATTAAATATTCCATAAGTTTGTTTATTAACAATTTATTATTATTTCAACTAGATATTTACCTACCTTTCCTCCATTCTATCGGATTCCAATAGAAAAATACTCATCCTCCATTACTGCATTTAAATGCAATAACAAATTGTTATTGTTTTGGTATACTTTCTCTTATTTTCCTCGGAGTACGACTGCACATGCCTTTATTCAATTTGTCATTGATGACAAATTGAATAAAGGCATGTGGAGTCGTACTCCGAGGAAAATAAGAGAAAGTATACCAAAACATATTCTTAAATAGAGAAGGAACGCATTGCAAACAAATAATGGATTTGCCAATTGTCTTATAAAGATAGAGATTTCAATTTAAAGTCTTTTGATTAATTGTCTGGTTTTCATTAAACGTTTTTTTATAGTTGAAATGCCCGGGAAGGGGGGGGGGGGGGTACTCACATATTAGGACTACGGGGTGTGCCGCTGTAATGGGTAACTTTTTCTCACAAAACATCACTAAAATTGGGTCCCACTTGGTCCGTTTTTTCAAAAGTTGTGCCATGCAAACACCCGAAAAGCACATCAAAGAAAAACGCCCTAAAATTGTGAAAAAATGGGTATTCTTTCGAGAAAAATTTCCCACAAATGACCCCTAAAAATGGGTATGAGTTTTGAGGCTTGAGCGGCACACCTTTGTCCAAACCAAATCTGAGTACTCCCCCCCCCCCCCCCCCGGTTGAAATGCCGTTGCACTACCTTATTCGTCTAAAGTTATCTCTGAAATTTACAATTTTACCTCATCTTGATATATTATTCCAAATTAATCATTATTCTTTCCCAATCCTATGTGCACCTGATGTATGAATTGTGGTTTGAATTGTTGAGTGTATTGTAGGCGAGAAAACAGTAGCAATGCAAATCATATTTGTAGGCGTGTCAATGCATCTCTTCATATCCTTTAAGTTATATCTGCACACATGTGACTTACATTTACACATACATTGACATATATTTTGGTTTTCTCGAAAGTAATATATTGTGCAGTAATGTGCCGATATTACTTAGTAGTCTAAACAGGATCTGTATTAAAAGTTTAGAGAACAGCATAAATTGTTTGGAAAGCAATGTGATAAAGTCTGAAGTATACAGGTATACATGAATTGTTGTAATATTTAAATCTATCACAACCATTCAATTAATCTAAATACATTAATTTTCTTTCTTTCTAATCTATATAAACTCTCGTTCTATGACCAAACAAACGAGATTTGTTAGTATTTTAGTAATAAGCATTTCAAAAGAAATGTAAAGGAAATCTAAGTTTTAAACATTTTTGTGAACAGACTATACTGTCAATGAAACTGTTACATCTGAAATGGTAATTCATACATGTACATGTACCTTGGGACGGTTTGGGTTTCAGGGTCATGCATTATAATTCAACACTTTGTCTCCAAATGCCTTAAATTTCTTTAGCAGAAGTCCAGTTGGTTTACTAGCTTGTAAAACACAATAGGCATGGTGTATCATGGTAAAGGAGATGCAATTTGTCAAATGGCTGAAATCTTTACCATAGTTGACTTCCTTATGCTTCATATGTGTGTTACTGATAGAGTACACATCCATGCCTCACATACAGTGCATGTATTTTTTGAAAGCTTTTTTTTGTTAGGAGAATTTTCTGCAAAGAAGTCAATCTAGGCGAGTATTATGAAATTTAAATACTAAGGAATCGCTTTTGAACTGAAAAGGCCAAGATCTCAAAACAAAGCACACCAAAGAGTAAGAGCATTGAGAACAAAATGTATGCTCTCTGAAGATCCTGCTATGAGCTATGTTTTGTTGAGTTAATATATTTATTTATTTATTTATTTATTTATTTCTAATCTTTTGACAGGGTAGCCGATTCACCAATAAGTAGTGGTCTTCTATGGGGCTCTGACTAAACATGAACATATTTACATTAAAAAAAAGCATTACGTTTATACGAAACATTTAAAAATAATACTCGTTTGCAAAATAAACATATTTCATTAACCTAGTTCAACAGTAATGTCAATAGGAAAATATTGCATTAAGTCGCAATTATGTGAATAAGTCATGTTAATATTAGAGAACATGCACGTAGTGTATGTCCGGCTGGCGAATTTGCGATTCCCAAACCATTCAGCTATGGGAAACATTTTGAGCAACGTGATTGGTTAAAAAAAGTTATAAAGACACGCCCACATCGACGCGAGCCATCTCATCATGGCGGTGCGAATGTGTCTGGATAATGGATAACAGTGGGCCTGTATGTGCCTGTAGCTAGCTCGCGTGTGAAGTGCATTGTACCTAACAACATAGCGTATGTGCAGTCCTGAGTGTTTTGTTGAGTCTAGCCATGCATTGTTTGAACATAGACAATAACACAAGTTACATGTAGATTTAGATGATAGATCTTTTAAGTTAGATACAAGTATGTTCTAATGAAATATAGATATCGATTGGATGATTTTTTATTTTTTTATTTTTTAGATCTAGACCCTAGATCTATAGACCTATGATAACAAATAAAAAATGGAACATTATTTATTGGGGGAGGGGGGGGGGTCTAACTTTGCTAGTCTAGATGTCTATGTATAAATGAGAGCTTGAGTCTGGGGGGGGGGGAGGGGTTGCAGAGAGCCCCAGCAGTTGTTCTAATAATCAGAGTTTGATGAAAGGATTAGGCATTACAAAATTTCCAGGTCAGAAATCCTCAAACAGATTAAAATGGTAAAACTAGAGAAAGTTTCCAAAATTAAATTAATTCATCTCGACTATACATGTAGATCTAGCCATGAGTATTGTTCAAACAGGATAGACTACAGGATATCACATTTGTGGTGGCTAATTCTTCTTGAAAGTGCATTAACAAACTGGCAAATGTAATTGTATTAATGATCTGAGTATAATTCCTTTCATTGCAGGATACTCTCCCTATTGAGTATGAATACCATCTCTGCTCGTTACTGATACACACCTTCAGTAGCAGAATTCTAAGGCATCTTAGAAGTTTGCAGGCACATATACACAGTCTGAATCGTGAGACTACAGTAGGCCATTTCATGTAGATAGACTTCCCTCAGACATGATATCTTTCGTAAAGTGTCAAATTAGAGTCTGTGCTTGCAGACTAACATTGTGAGTGTTTGTGTGGCTGTGTCAGCTGTGAGCGAGCCCGAGCGTGCAGTAAATGATGTAATATTTATTTCTTCTCTCGACCAATTAGTCAGGTCAAGATATGGTTTAACCCCAAAAAAATTGCAACAAAAGGTTTTTCAACGGTTTCTAGTAGTATTCGACCTCAGGAATAACATACTAAAAGTCGACCAAAATCGAAGGTTCAGAAAGCTGTTATTTTCAAGATGGCGTCCAAGATGGCCGCCGATACCTAGAAATGGCCATGAATCACTTATTATCCATCCTAGAGACATAATTTTAGTGTCTATCCCATGGTTTTGGGGGTCAGAGAATCCATTGAGACAAGTAAGAATGGTTTGTAATGGTCTAGGAAACCCCAAAATCCAAGATGGCGTCCAAAATGGCCGCCATAACATAAAAATGGCCATAAGTCACTTATTATCCATCCGAGAGACATAATTGGAGTGTCTATGCTATGGTTTCCGGGGTCATAGAATCCATTAGGATAAGTTAGAACGTTAAGCAGTGGTTCAGGGAACCACGACATCCAATATGGCGTCCAAAGGGCCACAAAACCACTAATATTTCTCAATAGAGGGCCACTTTATAAACAGGAAATGAACTTATAATGTTTCTCTCACCCTTATGGTGTCATCGACCCCACTCCCTCCCCCCCCCCCCCCCCAGCAAGAGGGTCAATTCAATTTTTGACAGGTCATTGTCAACACTGAGAGAGTGACCGAGGGAGGGGGGAGTGACAAAGACAAAGTAACTTAATACTAATATCTAGACACACATTTATAATACCTACCATACAATTAAAAATGTTTAAAACCTCGTGTTGTTCATGTCATCTTATACTATAGCGCATACACATGCATATCTTCATGTTCCTTCATTTTGATGAGGAATGTACTTTAGTAAGGAAAAAACATCTTCTGCTTCACTATAAGGTGACTCGTTATATAGATTGCGGCATTCATCAAGTTGGCAAGGTCTACACACACACTGTTACATGGTAGTCCGTAACATATGCGGGTACAGCAAGGTGTGCCACAAGCAGTACAGGAGTTGCAATGAATCAACTTAACAAGAAGATTACTCGGTACAGCCTCCGTATTCAACATTATTGTCCTCTAATTTCCAGCCCCAGTATGTGACGTCCATGTCTTATAATTCACTCTCCATCCACGCCATGAGTTGGTAGTATGTTCTGAGGGAGTGGAATTTGGCGGAGGCTGGCGTAGGAGGGAGTCGCACTGGCAATTTTCTTGACAAGCAAGTTGTATCGTAATGATGCAACTGAGTCATTCCAGCTACAGCAGCAACCAAACATGAAAGACATTGCTTTGCTACCAAGTTCCTCAATTAGTTCCTGTGGCTGACTTAATTGGAAGAAGGAATGTACTAGCACTGGATTCTTATGTGGGGCTGTATTTCACAAGCTTCTGGAAGACTGCTCTCTTTCCGATTCCAAATATCCTGGAAGTCGAATCGCAACCAGTGTAGGCATGTCGAAAAAGTAGTTGTGAGCATAGATCTTTACCCAGGTCCACTTTCAACGAACTGATTAATGTTATACACCTTCGGAGCCTTGCATTGCTCCATTGTAAGAGTGGAAGTATAGTTCTCTGCTATCTTCATCCGCGTAATGCAAGCGTAACACCAATAGGTCAGTGCCTTCTCAAATCAGAGTAGTAGACTGACGACGAAAATAATTCACTGCAGCTTTAGCAATATGTACATCTGCATCTGCATGGAAAAAGCTGTCAGAGGCAACGAGAGCAACAGCTGAGTGGCGTAAACTTGTGATGGCCACAGCAGTGCAGCTAGCGCCACCTGACTGAAGAATAAGACATCTGCATCCCCGGATACATTGCTGACGGTGCAATTACCCTTCCTCAGTTCCTCACTAATGAGATTCATGAGTCCCTGCTTATTGCAGTCTTTTGATAAAAACTCATCCTTCTTGCCTGAGAATACTGTGTCTACATTGAATCTTACAACTGGATGGGCATTCTGCCTACCTCGCTGGTGTGTATTATCATTAATTGACGGCCCTCCACCATAGCCGTCAAAAACTACATTTGCAGAACCATATGGTGGGGGGGGGGGGGTGTGAAATCAGGATATGATCGTGCTATTCTGCCAAAGCTGTCTCCTGTCTTCCATGGTATTCGATGCACCAAGAAACCACTATCAAGGACATACTGGTCTGTTTTCTTTTACGGCTTCACCCGACACTTTACTTGCATGATCGGTTGTAACATGAGCTAGCTGAGGCTTCTTAGCCTTCCGAATGACATTCCTAGCCTCGAAAAGTGCAGGTAGGAACGGACCGAGCTCAAAGCTCATCACCTCTGCTACCTCAAGTTCCCCCTTTTTTTAACTACCAGGAACTGTTTAAACAGCAAAGCAAAGCAGCAATTATGGTTTGCAGGTACAATTTGTACTTTCAAAATCTCTCCCAGAGTCGTAGCTTTGGCTTTCCTTTTGAACGAGATTATTAAAACAGCATATTGGAAGGCTGCTGAGCTGAATAGCCCACTGAAAGGGATTGACTTGCAATTAGGTTGCTTCCAGACCTTCATGATTTTGCTGGAATCAATCGGTACCCTGACGAAAGGAACTGGACTTCGCATAATCCTTGGAACAGATAGCAGGGAACTATAATTCCATTCTTACAATCGACAGCCAAGGCTCCGAAGGTGTAGAACTGTTAGCAGTTGAAATTGGACCTGGGTACGGGATCTGTGCTCACAACTACTTTTTCTGGATGCCAACACTTCCAGAAGCTTGTGAAATGCAACCTCACTTTAGAATCCTGTGCTAGTACTTTCCTTCTACCAAGTCAGCTAAAGTAACTACTTAGAGGAACTTGGTATCAAAGCAATGTCTGTCATGTTTGGTGGCCGCTGTAATGACTCAGTTGCATCATTACGATACAACTTGTTCGTCAAGAAAATTGCCAATGCAACTCCCTTCTACGTCAGCCTCCACCAAATGCACTCCCTCAAAACATACTACCAAGCCCGGATTGGGGGGGGGGGGATTAGATTATAAATCCCTACCAATTGTAGGGGTCATTTTTCTCGAAGATAAGCCCACTTTTCACAATTTTCACAATGCAAACACCCGAAAATTTTGTAAACACGGGCCCATGTTTAGGGATATTTTTGATAAAAATGGGACCCATGTTTAGGGATTCATTAGAGAGGCATACGCATGTATGTCTTAATATGTGAGTACCCCCCCCCCCTTTCTCGGGCTACCAAGTCATGGCATGGATGAAGAGTGAGAGGACATGGACGTCACAGACTTGGGCTGGAAATTAGAGGACAATCATCTGGTTCCACTAATGTCAAATACGGAGGCTGCACCTATAGTAATCTTCCTAAGTTGATTCATTGCGACTTCTGTATTGCTTGTAGCACACCTCGCTGTACCTGCATATGTTACGGACTACCATGTAACAGTGTGTTTGTGGACCTTGCCAACTTGATGTATGCCACAACAATCCATATAACGAGTCACCTTATAGTGAAGCAGAAGATGTTTTTTCCTTACTAAAGTACATTCCTCATCAAAATGAAGGAACATGCTGCTAGATCTGCATGTGTATTCGCTATAAGATGACATGAACAACACGAGGTTTTAAACATTTTTAATTGTATGGTAGGTATTATGAATGTGTGTCTAGATTATTATTATGTTGTAACTTTGTCTTTGTCACTCCCCCCCCCCCCCCCCTCGGCCATGGCCACTCCCTCAGTGTTGACAATGACCTGTCAATAGTTGAATTGACCCCTTTTCTGGAGGGTCGGTGACACCATATTAAGGGTGAGAGAGAAACATTATAAGTTCATTTCCTCTTTATTAAGGGCGCCCTCTATTGAGAAATCTTAGTGGTTTTGGGGCCTTTGGACGCCATATTGGATTTTGTGGTTTCCTGAACCACTGCTTAACGTTCTAACTTATCCTAATGGATTCTATGACCCCGGAATCCTAGCATAGACACCCTAATTATGTCTTTCGGGTAGATAATAAGTGACTTATGGCCATTTTTATGTTATGGCGGCCATTTTGGACGCCATCTTGGATTTGGGGGTTTCCTAGACCATTACAAACCATTCTTACTTGTCTCATTGGATTCTCTGACCCCCGAAACCATGGGATAGACACCAAAATTATGTCTTTAGGATGGATAATAAGTGATTTATGGCCATTTCTAGGTATCGGCGGCCATCTTGGACGCCATCTTGAAAATAACAGCTTTTTGAACCTTCGATTTTGGTCGACTTTTAGTATGTTATTCCTGAGGTCGAATACTACTAAAAACCGTTGAAAAACCTTTTGTTGCAATTTTTTGGGGTTGGGGTGTTTTTTACCGTATATTGACCTGACTAAATCACGTTGCTCATAAAGTCTCCCATAGCTGAATGGTTTGGGAATCGCAAATTCGCGTCCGGCTGAGCCATTCACAAATTACAACTTTGTTTAAACAATCTCTTAAATGAATTGACAGAGGAAGCCGTTCTCATCGAATTATCTAGCTTATTCCATTCAAATATGGAAGAAACATTATTGGGCTACACTTATAACAATCAGTGTGAAATCTAGGCACACGTAAACATCCACTGCCTATATCCCTTGTGTGATGCTCATGTACATCATTAGGATTGATTAAGCCTACCTGCAGGTAACAAGGTGCTAGTTTATGAACGCATTTATATATCATCATTACGTGACTTAACTCAAACCGTTTGTCTAGTGTCATCCATTTAAGACTTGTGAACAAATCAGCCGACGGTGTGTCATATGTCTTGTTCAATTTAATTCTTGCGGCCCTCTTTTGATTTTTTTGCAGCTTAGTTGTATGAGAATGAAATCTGTTTGACCATACAACAGAGCAGTAATCGAATCGTGGAAACACTAGACTGTTATAAAGTAACTTTAAGGATTTTTTAGGCAAAAAACTCTTTGCTCTCTTTATCATGCTAATGTTTTTCTGGGTAAGTTTACCTACGTTTTCGATTTGTTTAGACCATTTCAATTCTTCATCTATCGAAAGTCCTAAGCATTTGGTGAATTGAACTCATTTGATCAAATTGCCATTTAATGAAATGGTGAAAGATTCAATTATCCTGAGATCAGCATGAGAGCCTACATATTAACATGACACAAGTTTTTTGTAAGAACGAGACGATTTTCCTTAATCCATGCAATGCAACAGTTAATTTTTCTTCCACAACAGTTGTATCATTTGCACTGACGGTAAGTGTCGTATCGCCAACAATCTATGATACCTTCAGGAGTACATTCAGGTAGACTATTAACATATATTGAAAATAAAAGGGGACCAAAAAAGTAGTTTCAAGCAAATTTGCCTAATACTGACAGATGGCTGTTGAGAGTAACCAAGCTTTTTCCCCTCGACATATAGCTTGTTACAAGGGATTGAATCGGTTAACATTCTGCACAGAATGTTGAAATGAATAGTATTCGGAAACCTAATCATATGTAAGCACGAATGATTCTTTCAGAAGATATGAAGAATTTTTCAGAGTCAGGTTTACATTGTGTTTAGATACCTAGTAGGCCCATATCTAACACATGCTTCATTTTTCATTTCGTACAGGCTTAATTGGAGCTCAAAAGTCAAACTGAAACAGCACAGAGAATCTTAGTAAGAACTTCATTTAGCACAGAGCAACCCATCACAATCAACATTCTACATCTAACTGTGGATGCTGCTAAATAATACACTAAGAAACATAGTTTGCGCAACGACTGGTCTTCACTGTGATCAACGTGGTTATAGGCATACAGCGAGAGTCAGCTCATACAAGTACCATGCATTGAAGACACATTATATAGAAGTTGATTTAATACTTCAAACATACAGTTACTGTGGTTACATGTAACTCAACAGGTAAAGAAACTTGAAACAAAAGGAGTTTGCATCGATGCGTACGTGTCCGAATGTCAATTAACAGTGACAATACTTTTCATTGGACCTGACTGATTTCCAGCATATTGCTGAACCTAACTGGACAGTCGGCCAAATCTTTTGCCAGCATAAGTATAGAGAACCCCTTTTTTGAATTTAGATTAAATAATGTTCTTATGATACTGTTTCCTCTTTATTTCCTAAATCTGTACAACATTTAGAATTATTCTAGTCTTGAGAAGTAATATAATTCAAAATGAGTTTTCCAGTCATTCTTATATTCATTGTATTTGCCATGTGTAATGTGTGTAAATCTGAAGATGAAATGAAGACTGCCATAGAAGGGGGTGAGGTACAACTTAATTTTCCATATCCATGTAACAGTACAAGAGTTACACTACAGTATGGAATAAGAGTGCCTTTTTACATATTGGCAGATACAGAATCTATCGTTTTACCATCTGTACAAGTACACAGATTCATCTTCAGGAATAAAAGTGAACAAGATCATTGTTCACTTCATGTTAGTATCAGCCCTGTAATGAGAACTGATTCAGGAACATACATTTTCTTTGCCTATAGTGAAGATGGTATTTATTTTGAAAGTTACTTTAAAAGAATCGGATTACGTGTTGATTTCCTGCCTGGTAAGGCATCATGTACACTGAATAAAGAGTACATGGTTGGGGATTGGGTAGAACTGAATTGCATGGCTTTAGTTGGGAGTTTGTCAGGTCAAATTGATTGTTTTCAAAATGGAGAGAAGATGCCTCCAATTTCAGAACCTATTGAAACCTACAAACATCTGAAGCAAAGCATACATGTAAAGAGAGAGCACCCGGTGTTTTGTTGTACTTCTACCTGGGAGTACACTAAAGATTTGTGTGATTGTAATGATTTTCAATGGGACCTAGCCAATGACAAAATCCTGAGCTCAGTCATAGATCCATGTGGTCCAACCATACCAATGCTGGATCTAACACAGACCAGTGAGATTGTCTTCATTCCCTCAAATGCAACATC